GTAGTCTCTCTCTCTCTCTCTCTCTCTCTCTCTCTCTCTCTCTCTATTGCCCTACAAACACAAACATGTGAAAATAGGAAAAAATTCACATAATGGATATAAGAAAAGAGGATTAACACCTCCATGAAACTCATTTTGAGTATCACTTGCCTGCATAATTGAGAGAGCTCAGGTTCAGCCAGTAGCAACTCTGGCAGTGACTTTCCATTTGTTCCTCTACAACCAGGTAAGATGAAAAAAATGGGAATTTATCAGAACAGAAGAGGAAAGGAATGGGTAAGTGTCATGGGACTTCCAAAGGTGAAAAGTTAACTAACACCTGGACTCAAGCAATTCGGAACATTATCCATGTTGTTCAAGATATGAGCCTAATCAACCAGCTATAACTCAAGAAATAAAGCTTTTTATTTATAGGACTTAAAAAGTATCAGCTGATTCACTGCATTCATACATGACCTTGACTCGACAGCATTTCACTGAAACTAACCAACACAGGCGTTTGCCCTCATGGCTTTCTGGCAAGGTCATACGGACCGTTGCTCCATGGTCATGTGTTCCAAACCCAGTTTACCCACCCAAGAAATAACTAACTGATAGTTCCCCATTTTTCTTGTCTAGGAAAATGCAATTACGTGATGTAGCTAAAAAAAGAAATAAAGAATGCAATGAAGTTTAAAAAGAGTTAACTAGACTATGGTTTTCCTTTTTCCATGATCCTTAGGATTGCAGTACTTTCCAAAAGTGCTACGACATACCTATCATCAAGAGAAAGCAGCTTATGATGAAGAGCATTATCAGCACCAACATAACTAACAACCAAACTCCCAGCATCTGGGTGAGGCCAGTTCCTTGAAGTTGGAAACCGGAGAATGAAAGTTCCCATCTTTTGGAGCCCATGTGGGCCCCTAATAAAAGCTTCAGCCTCTTCCTGTGTAATCAAACCTTCAATCCACTTTGGTGATGTGGATTCCCAAGCTGCCTTTACAGGTTGCTTGGATATAGCCAAAGCCACAGGGTATAGCCACTGCCACAATTTTTCAAAATTTTCATGCACCAATATGTCACATCCTCCTGCTATTCTTCGTAAGAACTCTTTGTCCTGAATTTCAAAGAACCCATGTTTAGAAAATAAATACTTGAGATGACTTACCACACAGCTATAATACATGGTTTCGGATACAACAAATCAATGTTAGATGGTCTAATGATACAACATGGGACATCCACTGTGTGGTCCAGATGACAGAGTGGAGATTTAGTGTGACCTGGGTGAATATCCCCATGGGTCCCACCATGGTTGATTTCCACTGTCCATCATCTGGAATGGATGGTGGTTGTCCCTCTGGCATATTATGCAAACTTTCCAAGAGAAATTAGGTAGGGAAAAATAACCAGGCCAGATAGACTCCTGCTAGTTGACTGTGAAATCTTCATAAATTGCCGTTCAATTTCTGGAATTGCATTTATCCAAAGAACATGGTGATTGTTCCCTGAAAGCAGGTTCCAAGTTTGTGTCCCTTCTTGGATTAGTCGCTTTGCTATAAGTATTTGATACCTGAAAAACAATAAGGAGCCGAAAGGGCAGGCTTGAGGTCCATAGAAAATACACATGTTTGCATACTCATTTTCACTTACGATTCAGAAGTTTAAATCTGGAAACTTCCTGAATATTGTATTTGGCAGAAGATCTGGATAGTATCAGCAACAACTGCAGACGTCAAGCAAGTGATCCACATACTTAACATCAAGACAACTTAGACCAATCAAGGTTTCAAAGAACTAGACCTTTCAATTTTCTAATTCTTCCCTCAATTGCTTAGCTGTAAAATAGTCATTTTAAAAAATTGACAGGTTTATACACTGTCTAGAGATGTTATCTTTGAATGTTCAATAAGTATTACGATGAAATTACCCATTATGATAACATCCAGTGTTCTCTGAAACATGGGCAGCAAAATCTGCCAAATTCCGGTCGCTCATAGAAGAGATAGCCTCTTTTAGATATGCACGACGCTCAGCCATGCCTTCTAAACAATATCTGAAAACTGCCATATCTGACAATGGACTCCCTGAGTCTGCACTCCTCAAGCCATGATTTCGGTCATCATCACTCTCAGAGTCGGACTCAATATCACCTGTATCTCCATAGTGGTTTCTTGTTTTTTCCTCAAAATTACCTCTAAGTACATTCCCATCCTGTGCAAATGCAGGTGGAACATTTGAGACCATAACATGTTTTTTGGCAATATGCATGTATTGAACATATTGAAAAGAAAAAGATCAGACCCATAAACAATTTCTTGAGGTTCAAAAATGTCCAACTTACATCTGTAGTAGTCAATGTGTGAGACCTGTTTCCATCACAGGAATTGTCTGATGCAAAATCAGTGCCGTACTTGATCGAAAGTTTATGTCCACTTTTGACACGCTTTAGAGGAGGACTAAGCTTGGATCCAAGATTCTGATCGGGCTCTAAGAGATCATCATTGCCTCCTGGTGATTGGGCAGTATCAAGTTGATTCATTGCCTTCGGGTTATGCTTTTTAGATACACTCGACAATCGAATAGTACGATTTCTTGAGATACAACGTATTGGGCGCGAATGTACTTCCAGAAAAGGGTATCTTGGTGTGCTTAGTGAGACAAAACGAACTCGGAAGAGCCTATTATCACATTTGGAAGAAAGCTGAATGCCATGGAAAAGGCAACGTCAGCTGGAAAGGCATGTAAAACTTTAAATTAGTTCAAGTTCTTTTTGTCATTTCAAATAAGTTCAAGTTTGCCAGAGGAATTGTGGAAAATAATTCGAAAAAAATGGCTGTTCTTCAAATGGGAAAGAAACTCAAGTTGCCCCTTCATTGGATACAGACTCTGACACAGGTGGGAGCATAGCCAATAAGACATCATTTCCAAAATTCAGAAAATGGAAATATATGTGCACATTAAAAATTTAAGTTAAAAAAATTGCAAAAGGATCATTGACCACAACTTCAATGCCAGATTTCATATTGGGAAGTCATTAAACTAGAGAAGCCTAATAATTCAATGGGCAATTTAGGACATGGTAGAGTGAACACCGCAGGAGCCATGCCATGGTTGCTGGCATGTTGCAACGACATGGACCTGGAAATACAGTGAGACCAACAACACATGAAAAGCCCCACATGTTTATATGGAAGCGATGATGGAAAACCAAAGCATATTGGGTCCAATACCATCCAATGAACAATGGTGATCATGGAATGAGATTTGGGATCCACCAGAATAGGCCATGACGCCAATTGTGGATCTTTCCCTCCTTTCCCCCTCCCTCCATCACATTGTATGCCGGACAGTGACAACCCCAATGGACTATGATTTCCAGTGCCCATTAAGCTTAGCATGCTTTTGCTATTTTTATCTGACAGATCAAGAAAATGAATGTTCAATGGAATTTCTTTCACAAACCTAAAATACTCCAGTGAACTTCAAGTAACTTATTGCACAACAAGGAGATGAGAAGTTTTCAGCTTAGCACCTGAGAAATTTTCAGCTTAAATGAGGCACGACCATGAAGAAGTTTTATAGGTCTATCAGCCGAAGGAAACTCAACACCATCAAAGGTTGTCAAAAGTGGAGCTTCAGGATCACCTTTTGATCTCTCAACGAGCATTCCGTTATCCGCATAAACAAGTAAAGCACAGAGCTGAAGAGAGAAAAACTACCAATTTATCCAGGAAGAATAATCTCAATGTGCAGATATGGAATGGTTACTAATCCAAAAACGAATGAAAAAAGATAATAAAAAAGATAGAAGAACCTCCATATCCTTGTGAACAGAGCGTCCAAGGGCATCTAGTAAGATGACATCAAGTGCAAAGTTTCTGCGGCAAGATGCCTGTGACAAAGCAAGTATCATAAGCCTATTAAATCAAAATAAACAAAAAAGAAACAAAAAAATGATGGCATACAAAATGTTATTAGATTCACCTCGGGGGCATTCGTTATGTTTAGAAAAGGGAAGCGCTTCTGCTCTCTTGACGGATTCATGGGATATCTTGGGTGTATTTAAAAAAGATACAAATAGAAAAAAAGTATTCAATATAAAGCGTTAAAAAAAGAAAGAATTAAATACATAGAATCAACCCATTTTTAAATTTTTATGGGAAATTTTTCAAATCATAACTAAAATATCAAATATTTAATATTTCACAAAAAGCATACCTAAAATATCAACTATTTTTCACAAAAAACATAGGTAAAATATTAACTATTCTAACTCATGATTATGAGATGGTACGATGTTAAACAGTTCACTGCTTGTAGGATTTTGGATAAATTTTCCAAGTTTTAAATACATCATGCATATTTTCTGAATTTTCAATATTCTGGGCTACTTTTTGATATTTTTAATAATTTAGAATACTTTTACCAAATTTTGAGTACTTCCTGGAATTTTCAAAAATTTTGCAATTAGTTTCATTTTAATGTGGAATGATTACTTCATCTCAGTTTAGGGCCTGAAGCTGAAGAAATGAATCTGATAGCATTGAGTACATAAACTTATCGAGAAATTCTACAGCGTTAACCCTGAAAGGGAGGCAAAGATGCTTGTTCCAAAACCCTACAAGATAACAATTTTTCCCACAAAATCTGTACAGAGGATAGCTCAAAAGGTATATTAAAATTTTAAAGGTGAAATAGGAAAAGCCACATTATCTGAAAATCGTACCTTTGGATCCATTTATATCTGATGAGAATGCAACATGTTCAAAAAGGGATAATAGGAATCATTAGATGTCCTTGTAATAGTGGAGGAATGATTTGAGTTACGGTAATGACTTAAGCATCTCACTAAAATAAACATTTTTCAATACGCTGATATGTAAGAGAAGGCTGACAAGAGAAAAACCCAACGCACATTTGTATATATGCATTGCCATGTCTTTTGCTCCAGCTCATTGGTGAACCTATTGTTCCCTTGGATGAGGTTTGCAAGTTTTATGTATAAATCACACAGAGGCTTTTGAAGTAGCTCATGTCCATTGGCATCGGCATTTTTAGAGGCTTCAGTTTCATGCACAAATTATGTATTCATGATATTGACCCTTCTATGCAGTTCCTACTCCACCATCATAAGGTCCACTTTTGGATCCAAAAAGGAACAACCTAAAAGGAATTTTGGGGACTTTTAAACCCATCCGAAACCGTGCCTGACAGGTTTGACAAAATTATAGCTTAGTAGCTTCCATGAACCCCTAGACAAAAGAGAAGACTCTGCATAGAGAATTGCACATTAGTCACAGGACTTAATATTCAAATCCTCATTAGTTGATGCACTGCCTGTAATCATTAGAACAAAGTTCTATCCATCACATTATTTTGAGGAAGCTTTCCACTAAAATGTTCTATATCTGATTCCATCATAGGGGATCGACAAGGCTGCCCTTTGGAAATGATTACTTGAAAGTTATATCCAATGCTGAGATCAATATACGAGTCCCCCCCAATAATTCAAATAAAATCATAGTTTCTCTAGAGGGTTTGCAGTGAAAAAGTGCTCAGACAAGATAAGTATTCTTGTGCATCTAATATAATCTACTTCTACAAAAATTTCCTTTCAAGTTTCATATTTAGAGGAAAAAATTAAACATCAAATGTATGATACTCTCCCTCTCTCCCCTCTTCCATGTAATGTAGATGATTCAAAATATCCAAAAGGTTCATTCTTGAATGACTATGAACTGGAAACCATCGCAAAACCATTTTTCCTCAGAGGAAGCCAAGAAATATAACATAATTACATCTAACCTTGCCACCAACGACACTCCAAACACCATCCCTGCTCTCTTCAACCTCATGATTTTCTGACATACAGGATGAACCATCAAGTGCTAATTCCACTGGTGGGTTCTGCTATAGAGAAAGAGTGTATCACCATTGATATCGATCAAAAACCATAAAACAATAAAAGAACTCAACATCAAAAATCATTAGTAAGAGTTCCATGCATGGACCTTAACAAAGTGGTTTGTAACAGAAGGTGCGGCAATGACTTTAACATAGTGGGCATAGCCCTGTAGTTTGTTGTCACCTCCATTAATACCAGATAAGGTAATTCCACTCAATTTGTTCTGATCAATATTGTTTTCCATTGAACAAGAGAGAAACTTCTCTCCAACCATCACCCCATCAATGTGAAGACGAATTGCATCTCTTGAAACCTAAGGAATAATAGTGATGAACCTACATTTCATGGTCAGCCAATGGAAATAGAGAAAGAAAATCACAAGAACAAAACTTTAAATTTAAAGCACGGAAAAGAACCCATTAACTAAAAACACCCCTATAGCCCAGTATCAAGGTCACATTAACAAGTGCAACACAGCATTCTAAATCTCTCATTACAGAGACAATCAAATTAAACTCTATCCATTCCAATGAATATTAGAAAATGAAAAGCAATGCCAAAGCTGAAATTTCCCCAATTTATACAGTCCTGAATGAATGTTAAAAGAGCATGATGATATATTTCTTTTACTAGTACGACACTATTTTGAAACATGACTCTTTAAAACAAATACAGACGTTCAGTTCATGACTAATCGCTCCTCTCACTTCCTTTTCAGCCAAATTGCAACAAATTAATGAAGGCCTTCGCAAATTTAAGATATAATCAACGACTAACCTCGCATCCAATATGAACCCATTTCTCAAGAGGGCAAGCTACTTCAGCAGAAGCACATGGTCTATCATCCCAAGAAGTAGCCTCTGGATTGAGCGCTTCATTATGAAGAAACAACATAGGCAAAAGGGAAAGCTTCTTCTCAGAATTCAAGACGAGGAATGGAACATCAAATTCAATGTCTGGATGAATCTGAAAAAACCCACAAAATACAAAACAGGATTAAAGCACCCATCTTCATAAAATCAATGCACTTCGTCCCTCTACCCAAATTCGATACATAACACACATACGGAGAGATGGAGAGAGAGACCTGGCGGATGACAATGGAGGAGAGTGGAGCCGGGGGAAGGAAGTAAACCCAGAGACATAGAGTGAAAGAAGACGGATTTTGCAGGTTAATGAGGATTTTGTCGAGGGTGACATACTCATCATCCTCTTCTACCAGCGCCTGCTCGCAAGGCATCACAACGATGCTTCTCAACTCCTTGAGCAAGAGCACCAAGGAAAGAGGGGTTTTGAAGAGAGAGAGATTTGCTAGGTTTTCTTTTGGGGGAAATAGCGAGAGGGCATTGACGCCTTAATAGAGAGAGAGAAATGAGGGTCCGGAAATGGCAAACGGCTTGGAATAGACAAGCCAGTCCTGCAATTCCAGGCAGTGTTCGAAAGATCGAATGGGACTCGAAAACCGGCCAACGGCAAGGCCTGGATCCGAGTAAGCAGTAAATCGAGCGGTTCATTCGGCATGATCGGGTTGTTCCCGGGAAGGATTAAATATATTAAAGATAAATGATCTTGTACGATCCCTTCTCCGCCCATGTACAACCTCAGAGATCACCGATCTTGAAAAAAATCAAGTTTAGACAATATTTTTAGAGTGCCGTATTAAAATTAAGAGTAATCATTTGAAGTCCTACATACATAGGTGGAAGATGATCCTATAAAATTATTATTTTATATTAAGATATAAAAAAATTTAAAAATTAAAAAAATTTATGTATATATCTGTTATAGTTTTTGTTATTATCAAAATACCAAATAGTTTCCATTATTATTGGAATATTTGATTTTTTCACTTCGTAACGAAAATTTTTAAAAATGATTTTTTTTACCCTTTTTCAGTTTTTTAACAATCGAAAATAGGCAGAAGCTTGGAATTTACATTCTTATTTTCGGTTATTGAACAACGGAAAATGTTTTGTTTTTTGTTGTTGAACAATAAAAAGTAAGACTGCGTATTCCAGAAGCTTGTTGGAATATGCAGTCATATTTTCGGTTGTTTAACATCCGAAAATGTCTTGTTTTCGATTGTTCAATATCCGAAAATGTCGTATTTTCTGATATTGAATAACTAAAAATAGGATAAAAGCTTAGAATTTGCATTCTTATTTTTTGTTGTTCAACAACATAAAATAAGACTGTGTATTCGGGAAGCTTAAATGAGCCCCGCTATTTTCGATTGTTCAAGATCCGAAATTAGCTTATTTTCAGTTTTTTGACGACCGAAAATTCATCCATTTCAATTGTTTAAAACCGAAAAAAGGTAAAAAAGTCTTTTTTGAAAATTTTCGTTATGAAGTGAAAAAAAACAGACATTCCAATAATAACGAAAACTATTTGGTATTTTGATAATAACGAAAACTATAACAAATATATACGTAGTTTTCCCTATAAATTATAAAAAATGTAATTAAAGTATAATTAAACAAAACATATCTAAATAAAATTGAAAAGTAGCGAAAAAAATGGATTTAAAATCTCGATATATTTTTAAAATAATTTTTAAAAAATAAAAATACATATTTATAACTAAAACACTTTCCAATATTTATTAAAATGATAAAAATAAAAAAACACGATACAAAAAAAAAATTTACTTTTTGAAATTTTATTTATTTTTTTGAGTTTTTTTTTAAATATCAAGCTAGACCACCAAAACTGGTTAAAATAGGATCGGCCAATGCCCAGTTCATATTTGACCGGTGGGTTTTGAGTTGCCGACCTGCTCTGCCCACGCTGATTCGAGGCATTGCCATATCGGAAAGAATAACGTGCACAAGATATGCATGTTGTACAATATTGCTCATCCGTGGCCTTTCTTAACATGGACGGTGATGGTGAACTTTCGTTAGGAAGTGACGTGCATTTAAAACGATGATATATTTTCTTTACGCTCCTTCTAGAGAATTGACAGTAGAGATCGGCTGCTTGTTAATTGCATACTATCCATACACATCGTGTATATGTTGTGGTCCTTTTGAAAACGTAGAACGTTTCCTTTGATAAGGTGAGGTTTGTATAAGGTGTAAACCTTATACTATTGAAGTAACGCACACCTCAAAACTACGTCGAAAATGTAGCTTCGATGCCTCAAAGCCCAGTGATGATATGAAAATCTATTGTTGCCCCCATTATAAAATTTAAAGCTCTAGAAATGGTGACGATCAAGAAGATCTAAAAATAACTGAAATTGGGGCGGTCTAGATAATGTATTGGAAGATGAACTGTTTTTAGCAGTGTTTAAAAAAACGCCGAGTCGAACCGGACTCGCTCGGTTCGACTCGGGAATCGCCATGGACGGATCGAGCCGCTAAAAAAATCGAGAATCGTCCGGTTCTAGAGAGAACCGGACGATTCTGTACAGTGACTCGCCGATTCACTGTACGGAATCGGCAAGTCCCGTGAAGAACACGGGTTGCACAGTGTTCTTCACGGGATTCTTCGACATTTGTCATTTTTTTATCATTTTTTTTTTTTTTTGGCATGTGATCTAATTTGCAGGCTTTAAACAGCTTTATTCAGCTTTTACACAGATTAAATGGTTGAGACATTTGGTGTTTTTTGATCACAAAACTTGCATTTTTAGGGTTTCCGCCTATCCTTGTGTTTCATGCCAAATAGG